AAAAGTTTGTGAAGTTCTCTGGTATGATCGCAATGGGAGTCATATAAGAACCTAAAATAGATTGAAGCCAGTGTGCCATTCCAAAGTTACTATTTAAAATCTTTATCCCTTGGAAAAGAATAAGGTCCATTAACCTTTCACTGTGTGCATCAGATTTCAACCAAATGCATCCAGTCCATTAATGGGCTTTATGTACCGCAGGAGTTCTGACTGAAGGAAAGAGAAGTCAGGACAGAGAGGTATTAGTATGATTCATCTCTATCCACATCAAAAATGAAATTCTGAGAGCAGGTAAGTGGTATGTAAGTGTACACATATGAACATTATGTGCACATTTGCATATACACCGTTGTTGAGGACATATATGTATGTATATCTGTATAAGTACACACAGAGAGTCAAAGAAGTACTGAAAATAGGAGAAGAAACGGGGCAAGGAAGCAGGATGGCAGGAGAAGCTGAGGGAGCAGCTGAAAGAGGAGGAGGATATAGGAAGCAAATTCCTGACAAGAGGAGAGTGTGGTCAAGCAAGTGCTGAAAATGGTAGGGATAAAGAAGACATGAGAACAGAGATGAGCCTTTGAATAAGAGAGTTAGTAGTCAAAGTATTATTTCTGATTCTCTTAGTTCATGATAATCATTACCTTTCTTTGTCGAGTGATGAAAAACTACATTTGCAAACATATGTGAAACTCTTTTTAATGAAAGCTGGAACAAAAGGCCTGATGAGTCTGTGGAATTTCCAGCACTGGAAGAGCTTTGACAAAGATGTGTCAGGAATGTCCTAGAGTTGATCCTTCTTTGGACACAAGAGTGTGGACCAAATAACATTTTTCAGTTCTACTTTCTGTATCTTATGGTTTTCACTGATGCACAGGGTTTGATGGGTTTTAGCTTTCTTGTAGGAAAATTTGTGAAACTGAAGATATACCACCTTGCATCAAGTTTACAACTGATGCTGAGAAAATCCCATCGAATGTAACCGTATCTTGATGATTACACTATTTCTCTGTGTCCTTATTTTTTCCCTCTAGGTGGAAAAGTTTGGAAAGGCACTGAATTATGCAGAAGCAGCACTATCGTTTATTGAGTGTGGAAATGCAATGGAACAAGGCCCAATGGAATCTAAATCCCCTTATACAATGTATTCAGAAACAGTTGAACTCATCAGGTAGGGAGGAGATGACCTCAGGGGTTACTCTGTTCATGCAAACATGCTCATCTACATTATCACATAATACCCTAGATACAGTAAAAGGGGAGAAGTGAAGTCCTCCCAAGTGCCTGGTCAGTCATATGTAATATGTATGTCTTATCTGTGATTTCTATGGAAATTGTATCAGGAAACTGTGTAGAATGCAAAAAACCTCCAAAGCTTTTCATATTACTTGAGTTGAAATTACTTCAAGAGTTTCATGGTATAAGTCCTGCGCTACTCAAAAGGGACAAATAATAATACATAATACCGAAACATTCTCAGGGAGCGGTAGTTTGCGAAATGTTGCAACGTGTTTAAGACTGCAGTTTAATGGTTATCTGAATGAAGATGTGAACAGTGATAGAAAAATGGACGCTCAAGGTCCATTTGGTGTGTATGCTGCTACTGTAGCCAGTGGAGTCCCAAAAGCAGTCCAGCTCACACTAAAGCAGGCCCCTACATTTAGTCCCTTTCATGGCTCTCCAAACAGGACACTCTAGAATTCAGTCCCACCTTCAGTCCCTATGAAGAAAGTCTATCTCTTAAGTCCTTTCCTCCTTTATAGTTGGTACTAATAGTTAACGTTGTTGACAGTGACGGTAGAGAACACAAAGGTCAAAATCATCCCAGCAGCTGAGTGACTCTCTCCACAAGAGAGCGAGCCCAGCCACACTAGCAGAGAAAGCTGCACTGTCAGCGGCCATGGCATCATTCCTCAGGACAGTCAACCACACAGACTCAGTTCATAGGAAGTAAAACGTTTTAATTTTTAATCATAATTCATAATGCAGCAAAGCTTCTAAAACAATTGCATTCTTTTAGACTTAGTGTTGATGCAATGATTTTCTTACGTATTAACAATTCCATTGGCATTTTATTCCACTTAGGGCTGTCTTCTCATGCATTTCAGTGGATTGAGACCAGCTTTCTAACTGGAAGGTTATTAAACAAAATCATATATTTTTTTCAGTAAGAGAATAGTACATCCCATCTCTGCAACTCTTCCCTTCTTTTTTCAAAAGGCAGAAAGCTCTTTATTTGTCTGCCCTGTCTTTTCTCATGATAGTAAATATATGGTCCTAACTCTGGAAATGAATTTTGCTTGCAGATCCAAAGCTTTCAATAATGTGTGTAGCTGTGGTTGTGTTGTAGTGTGAATTGCTGTTGGTCTCACTTGCTGCAGCTCAGAAAAATAAGTGGTTTACTAGGTATGCCTGTTGAAACAAAACGTTCATACCAAGTCTTTACACAGGTATCAGGATTAAAGTTTGAAAGCAAAGATAAGAAAAAATACAAGCAGCTAATTACGGGAACAGGTATTTTTCTGGAAGCGAGCCCAGAAGTGTTGTGTATTGTCCTAACCTTGTCCATTGTTCAGGTATTCAGCTGGAAGCTGAGATTTCCAGAAACTAATTTGTGATTGCATAGCACATACACTCTTGAAACAGCAGTGCTACCTCTGTGGATGTTTAATATTTATAGAATTTGAATGTAATGTCATATGAGCAAAAATAGCTCTGAGCCACATGTTCCCCCTCTGCTGTGCTCTGCTTGGAGGAGCAAATCTGGGTAGACACGCTCAGAACTGGCAGGGTGAGGGCAGCACCAGCTTCAAGGCAGGCTGTCTGCCTTCAAAGGCTGTGAAAACCTTTCTGCATGAACTCTGTGTAACTGGGTCTCCACAGCAGCGGAGGTTATTTTGGTAGGACAGCATCACCTCGCCAGCTAGGCTCCCCTCTGGACTGACGGATGTTCAAGGGAGTTACTGCTGTTTAAAGAGTGCAGGGAGGCACTGCTAGTAGCAAAATAGCTCAGAAACACAACCAGAAAAAGCACATGTATGTCTAGTAACTTGAGCAAATATGTTTAAAGGGGCAGATCAAATGACATCGGCCAGCGTAGCTCTCTGATGAGTAACATAAAGCTGTCTCAGTTAACTCACATTGGCTTTTTTCCTTTTGCTTAAGGTATGCAGTGAGACTAAAAACCCACTCAGGCGCCAGCGCCACGCCAGAAGACAAACAGCTGGCAGCATTATGGTTAGTAGATCAAGATTTCCTCAAAAGGCTTCTTTTCTGCAGTGAGCCAGTTCTTGAAAATCAGATGCTGGACGCAGCCAGATAGGATTATGTTGTCTGTTGAAATTAAGAGAATACTTTCTGCTCCGGGAAGGTCCAGCCCTTGTATCACTGTACCAGGTCTGCATTCTGTCTCTCTAAATAAGCAATTTATACTTATTGACTGTGACAGGTCAGCTATGGTACGTCAGCGTAATTAATTTTTAAATGCCTGATGGTTTGTTGTTTTTATGAGTGATGTACTTTTGTACCAATAGGTTGGTAATTTTGTGGCTGGTATTTTAGGCTCAATAATCATAAATTATATTTACATTGGATGAAGGGAGATACAGGGATGTGATAATTAAGCCTCTTGGATTACCTCCTAAATTGAGATTTCTAGATGTATATGCACGCACCTTAGATTCTATAGGATGGTTGCTGATTGCTAGTAAAATACTAAAACATTATTAAAATCAAATTTTAATTTAATATCTATGTAATAATACATAAAATACCTATTACATGGTTACTGATTCTCAGTAAGTGGACATTTACAATCAGCAAGTGTGTTTTTAACATCTATTAACCATCTGTTAAAAATCCAAATTAAATGCATCTTTAGCCTCCATAAATAAGGAGTCCTAATTAATCATTTGTATAAAAAAGAACAAAATATTCAGAGATGCAATTTTTTTTTTAAACGCCCTTTCTTTGTCACCGGTTTGCTGTGCCTTCGCGAGGAGCACGGAATGCGTCCGTGGCAATTGCTTTAAAAAGGCTTAGGTGGGAAAACGACTAAAGAACGGTTAAAAAAAAAATAAAGCCATGTTACGAAGGGTTGCTGAGAGCTGCCGGAGCGCTTCGGTGTGCTCGGAGCCGCATCCAAATTCACGGAGCTGCTGCATCTGTTTCAGCAGAAAGGTCAGCGCGAGGGAAAGCAGACGGTGCCTTCTCTGGGCGATGAATAGCAACCCTAACTCACCGTCTGCCAGCCAGCAGATGAGCTGACACCATTTGCATATGCGCCGTACCTGTGAAGGTGACAGAGTGAGAGTGATGGTGACTGCGAGGCCACCGCATCCCCTGGCTGCTCCCCGCGCCCGCCGGGCGGGCTGCCAGAGGCAGCCGGCGCACCCGGCTCCGCTTCTCCTAAGGAGAGACTGTCCTCCAGCGGCCAAAGGCAGAAATTCACCTTCTGCCTTCAGGACGGGAGGCAGCCGGGCTGAGAAATCCCTGGCCGGGATTTTTTTCGAGAGCAGTTCGCTAATTCGAGGGGTTTGCTGAGGTTTGGGCAGCTCCTGGGCGCGGGGAGATGGGGGAGCGCTCTGCACTTCCAAACTCACGGCACCTTCTGGTGCTTCAGGTTGGCCCCGAGGCTAAATACTGCTTTTAAAAATAAGGCCTCCACTGCCAAAGGAAAAGCAAAATACACCAGATTTTTGCTTCGAGAGCTGTGTTACTGAGGGGCAATCCCACGCTTGCCGATGAAAAAGCTTGCTGGGAAAAGGTGGTGGCGATTCTTGATTTGGAAAATAGACCAGTTAACCTAAAGCCAATAGCGAAGAAAAGAGTTTGTGTGTCCTGAATGCTGATTATCAGTTACTGTGATGTATACTTATAGTTAGTAGCTATTACTCTCATTTAATTACATAGCATTAAAGGTGTGCATCTCTCTGCAGGCTAACAAGGAGCACAGAGTCAGACAGTTCCAGTACAGCACGTTGAGTTTTTCAGCCCACTGCTGGTTTCCTCTGGGGAACAAATCAGGCAGGTGGCCTAGAAATAGCCTCCAGGCTCCAACACAATCTCCGTTCTGGTATTCCACAGAGGAGCTTGGCCAGTGAAATCTGGGCAGGTCCAAGGTTTCCCTATTTCCCAGCTATCTCCAGCTGCTGGAAGAGACCACTGGGTGTACACAAAATATACCCAGGATGACTCTAGTTCATTATACAGGCTCCAGGCTGTTGTAATAAAGTCCCAGGATAAGATACCCAAACAGGCTGCCTTTGCATTTACAACAAGAAATACAAAAAAATGCCTATGTTGGGTTCCAGGCCTGTAATAACCTTTTCACAGGAGAGGCCTTTGGTCAAGTGTGCAGACTTCGAGTCAGAGTCAAGGCCTAGGAACCCAACCTTGCAAACCTTTCTGAGTATGTTTTGTCTAGTACCTCGCTGGTAGCATTCGTCAGTGTGACCTGTCCTGGCTGTAATACCTAGCATTGCACATGAATCCATGGCAATGTGTGAAGTACTGTAAACAAATGGTGATAATAACAGTAAGCAAGGTGCTGTCAGCCTTCCACTGCATGTTAGATTGAGAATTTAAGATAACTAATTGGGATTACTGTTCAGGGGGCATGCTTTACCTTCTGCTCTCCCTTTTGTTCTAGTTACCGCTGCCTGGCCCTTCTGTACTGGAGGATGTTTCGACTCAAGAGAGACCATGCGGTCAAGTATTCGAAAGCGCTTATTGAGTATTTCAAGGTGCATTCTTTATGACATGTTTTTAGATCAGCATGTCATTATAGGAAATACAGCATCTTACTGAACAGTAGCTGTGCTGGGCTTCCGCTGTGAAGTCAGTAGAGTTTTACCATAGACTTCCATGGCAACACTTGATCTCTAGTCAGTTCTAGAGTTGAGTCAGTTCTGTCTTCACGAAGGCCCCTCTTTGCAAAATACACACCGTGTCCCTTCATGAAGAATGAGAATTTTATAGTACTAACAAACAGGTATTTTCAGATTATTCTTGGTCAAGTGTCTAGTGCTATGCAGCTCTGTTGTGAATAGGTTTTGCAGATTTTGCTCTTAGAATCCCCTCCAGGATTACACTTTCCACTAGACTACCTGTGAGTTGAGGACTTTGATCTAGATCAGTCCTCAGCTGCAGGGCTCCCAGTTAGCAGCATCGATAGGTAGGACAGTGCAGTGGGACACGTTCTTACCCAAGGAACTGGCAAACAGCCCATGCTGACTTCGGTGGGAGTTGTACAAAAGCATCAGAAGGCAACCAAACCGCCTGCCATGTCCTTGACACAGCACTGCTGGCTTCCCCTTCCTGCTTCGCTTTGCCTGCTACTGCTTCTGTTTTCCAGTCTCTAGCAGGTCCAAGCCCTGGTTATTTTGAAAAGGACAAGAAGTCATTCAAAGTATTTTAATGTATTTTATTTTGACAGGCAACCTTGCTCCGGAAAGTACCTCAGGAACAAAACCTTTCAGGTGGAGCTCACCTAGCAGTCAGTTCACCCAGCATTTCATCTCCAAACACAAAACTAGCCTTCATCTTACTAATTAAAAAAATAATATGTACATAGAAGTACATATGTACAAGCTTTACAAAGTACAAGCTTTAAGACAAACTCTTTTGGGGGACCTGAACAGCCATTTGTCTTTGAACACAGGGCTCATCTGCCGGGGTTTTTTTGCAGAGGGAGGTACCTTGAAATGAAAAACATCCATCCTTTGACATTTTGTTAATAAAAAAATTCAAATACAAGCACGAATGCTCATGACCATATTCTGAACACATGAAGACAATGAAGGAAAATGACAGATCCATTGTTGTCAAACTGAAATTGAAGTCACTGAAATTGCTTCTAAAAATTTAGCAATATATAATTCAACACGTTATGTTTCTCTAACAATGACTTGATTTGAGGGGAAAGAAATATGCGCCTATTACAGCACTTTATTTTTCTTTACCAGTTCAGAGAATACCTGCATTAAGAACAGGCTGGTCAGGCTCTCAACCATGTAAAATATCTCCTACTAGCAGACAGAAACTGTTTCACAGCAAACATAAAATGGACTTATACTCTGCTATAGCCAAGATGAGCTTGTTTTTTGCAGAGCTCCTGCTGATATGATAGTGCAGTTTCACATTAGAAAGTATTCTCACCTTTGAAAGTAAAAATGGAAAAAAAATCCATTTGCTATAATTTTCAGTGGAAAACAAGCCAATTCTCCACTCATTTCATATTTGGTATCTAAAAGCTTTCAAAACCAAGTGACGTGAAATGCTGACTGCATTAAGAACTTCCACATATATTATCAATCAAAGAAAGATTTTAAACCTTGTCACACACATTTGCAGGGAAAATTAGACACACTTTTCTTTTAGAAAAGAAAAAATGATTATTTAAATCTCCTTTTAAGTATTTTCTTTCGATTATAAAGAAAATTAATGCAGCAGAGAACTAAAAAGAAGTCACAGATATTCAGGGGCCAGACACATTTGAGAGCATAAAGAAACCATGAGAATGGGTAGCAGTAAGCAAAGTGGGATAAGAGATGGTCCCTTACAACATTACATTCTTTAGAATCCTTACTCCCACATTTCTGGTGCAGAACTAAGAGGAGGCTGGAGTAATATACCTAAAACACGAGAAAAAAGGTGTGGGAAATTGTACAGTAAGGCAGAGGCTGGTTACATTTACAGCGGAAGCATCCTTGACTCCACTTCGGTTTTTGTATTTTCCTGCCTCCAACTCTGTAAGTAAATAACATGTACTCAGTTTCCATTACACTAGAAAGATGAAGGCCAGTAGTTCTGAGACAGTCAGAAGAGAAAAAAAAAAAAAAGAAACTATTCTGTAAGAGGAGCAAATGCCGAGGATTCCCAGGTTGGTTCTATTTAGGATAGTAAATGAGAACTTTTCATTTTTTATCTTTCACACCTTAGCCCTTCCTGCCAAAAAAAAAAGAAAACCCATTGAAGGAAGAATCCCCTGCGGAACACTCCAAAGCTTATTTTTCATACCACTTACCTGGGATGTAGAAGGCCGAGTGTCAAAATGCAGGAAGAATGCCAGGGCACCCACAGCACTGATGTGATCACTGCTAAAATACAGCCAGTGTTGGTGTGCGCATGAAAGATGTGGGAACACAAAAGGCAGTTCAGACACAGTCAAAACTGAGAAAACAAACTTTTTGAAGAGAGGCTCAGGAGATGCGTCCAGCTTACTTCAGAACAGGTTAAAAGAGGATGGGATCATTGTGTATATGGAAACAGAGCTGATAATACCAGGTGACATGCACTGGACTGGCACTGGACCAACAAAATCCAAAAGCTAGCACTGAAGTTAAGAAAATCCAGTCTTGAAAACTCTGAAACAGAATCTGTTTTCCTAACTGGGAGGCCTGCTAAATCTTAGACACAGGACGCAGGAGAACAAGGAGGATAAATAGTGTCATAGGGTTTCTATATGACTAGCTATCCTTTTTAAGTAAAATAAAATAAAATATATTTAAAAAGTAATTTAGCTTCTGGTGAAAGTTCCATGATTGGTGGAAAAGGGAAATTGCAGATTGAGTGTCCTGGGTGATTATTCCTGGCTCTGAAATCCATGAAGCTCTGAAGCCCCTTGTTTATCATTTTTTCCTTCCTAAGCCACGGGAGACCACGAGTTTTTGTGCTGCTGGTAACGCTTGTAACTCCTGCAGCTTGCAACATCTGCAGCCTTGCATTTAAACAATATCCGTAAACAGATCTTGAGCCGCAGGACTTCACTTGGTCTCTCGTGGTTGTCAAGAAGGGAGGGTTGTTCTCCAGCACACAGTCATCTGGATGTATGGTTTCAGGGAAGGGTGCGAAGAGGTCACTTTCCTCTGAAGAATTAGAAACTGGCCGTTGCTGAATATGAGGCTGAGGATGGGATGGACCAGAAAAGTTTTGTTTCTTAGACTTCTGGTTTTTACATCCTTCTTTCTTGCAGGCCCAGGATTAAATTAGTCACTGCATTTGGGAGAGGGGAGGAGTTTTTCCACAGGTCAAATGGGCAGCAACCTGCCAGTAAATTCCCACCAGATCTTGTAGATTAAGTACTAGAATCATTTTAGCTATTCAATTTCCATTATTGCAGACACCTGAATTTCTCCTAATCCGTAAACGTAGTGCTTGTACGAGGTAGCTTCTCCTCAAGCAATGGAATTCTTTAGCCTAAGCACAATATACCAGTGAGAGTCTTAATGACTAAAGGTATACAAGAGATCACACTAAATGATCTAATGTCTCCTTCGGCGGGGCGGGGGGGTCTGGGGAACCCTTCAGCTAGAAAAACCACCAGTCTACAAGGGCAGCCTCTCTGGCCCTGTGAATGCTGTCGTATTCAGACGAAAGGGAACAGCTCCAAGAGGCAATCATGAGAGAGATTCTTGAGCCTGGTGGTTAAAACACCCACCTGAGCTGAGGAAGCCTCAGATTCACATCCCTGAGGTCAGCCAGGCTGAGCAGACTTGCGCAGTCTCGCAGGTCCTAGGAGAATGACGTTAGCCTTTGGGGGCAGGAGAATGGGAGGAAATCCTTCTGGTATTCTCTATCACAAGAAATTCCAGCCTAAACCTCACAGAGTACTGGCAGCACTTTCTTCTGAACTCCCAGGATTTCTGTGAAAAGTTTCTGTTTCCAACCAACGCCCATCCCAGTGTGTTTAATAGACTGTGATTTGAGTCTGTGCTGCAGCACTGCTTCATCACAACACCAGACTAGGCTGAGTGGGTTTATTGCATCATGAGACTATCTGCACTTTTTTTTCTGTACATTTCTTTACTTTTATACTGTTTAATGTTTTTCATTTCATAGTCTTATATAAATTATATGCATTGTGAATTATTTTTTCCTTTACAGAATTCATCAAAAGCTGCCCAGAACCCATCACCTTGGGGTGCCAGTGGGAAGTAAGTTCACAGGCCGCACAGAAACTTACATCAGATTGGCAGTCAGAAATTATATTTTCTTACCTGCAGTATGTTCTGTTACTCTCATGTTTTTAATCACAACACCCTTTTAAGTAACTGCATTAATATCTGTTTCCAGGAGCACAGGAACTCCATCACCCATGTCCCCTAGCCCTTCTCCAGTCAGCTCTGTAGGATCCCAGGGGAGCACAGGGGCCCCTTCCCCATCTCCTATCATCAACATCCCGCAGCGCATTCATCAGATGGCCGCCAACCACGTCAGCATCACCAACAGCATCCTGCACAGCTATGACTACTGGGAGATGGCTGACAACCTGGCCAAGGAAAACAGAGGTGAGTGAGTCAAGGCACTGGACTATTCTAGAAGACTGACACATGATTTTGATCAGGAAAATAACTATTTTGATAGGAATCCTGTCTGCAAAGTAGGACTGCAGAGGTGTTTTTTTCTTCAGTCTGCTCCTAATCTGTTCCAAAACGGCCCAAAAAGGCAATTTTGATAACTGTCTCGCTCAGAAGCATCTAATTTTTTTCTTTATTTGGCTGGTCAGGACTGGTGACAGACAGGTCACAGACATAGCTGTGGGTAGCATTCACTGCCATCTGTGTCATTCTGGAGAGAAAGGTTTTTGGGAGGCAAGGCAGCTTCCTGCTCCCCAAAGTCGTGGAGCTGGATGGGATGCGTTTAGCCTGACCACATCAAAAAGCAGGAGCGCACTTCCTTTCTGCAGAAGGAATGAACGGCCCCAAGCCTTCTCCCCTTCCGAGCAGACACAGATGGGAACAAGGTGCCTCGCTCCCCCTTCAGAGCAAACTTCTCTCAGCTGAGCTGGTTTCCCTGAGCATGTGCCTCAGCATCTGACTTGATGATAAAGTATTCCTTGGCTTTCAGGCTGATTTATATATTTAAGGCAGGGGCATGGGCAGGATTCAAATCCAAATGAGGACACTGAAGTGTAGGTGTGTATATGTGAGTTGGGGGGCTAATCTCCCATTACAGTTGAAGGAGCTTTGCTCCATACAAACAGCAGAGTTCAGAGAGCTGTTCAGTTCACCCTGAAGGGGACGCAGGAATACAATTCAGTTGCCTAACCATAGCTGCCAAATGCCATTTGAGGTATCCTACCTACACTGCCACTCCAGAAGCCTCCTGTACGTCCTGTGTTAGATCTGCAAGTCCGGGCTGTATGTATCAACTGCCTGAGGGCATCTCAAATGGGCACTACATGCCTCTAAATAGGCAACTGAATTTAGTCTTTAGTGGCTAGTTAGCCAGATTGCTCTTTAGGCTGTGATGACCATGTTGTACAGGCCTCTATTTGTCTGTCACAGTAGCTTAGATATCTAGCATATATATACTCACATATATGAGTAGACTTTTTGATTTAGTTGTCCTTATTCTCAGAATAAATCTTGCCCAGCATCTGTTTGCTTTATCAAGATTCAATGGAAATTAATGAAAAGCAAAGTCGAACTGTTTTGTTCGTTGAAAAGAAATTGTTGTGCATCAGCCTGTAACACCATGAACCACAGGGCTTTAAAATTAATCTCACCAGCACTAAACTTTCATTCCCATGAAATGTTCAGCTTGACTCAATTTGCAAGAGAATAAAATCTATTAAAGGGTGACAAGTAGCAAATAGAGCTTCACTTTTCTGATGCCAAATCTTTTTTGCCTTGTAGATTTTTTTAACGACTTGGATGCGTTGATGGGACCTATCACCTTGCACAGCAGTATGGAGCATTTAGTTCAGTACACTCAACAAGGACTTCACTGGGTGCGGAACAGCGCTCACTTGTCATAATGACTGTGTGCCATTCACATGGACAGTATAACTTTCATGGATAATTCAGTTATTCTGGACACTGTGCTACAGAAATAGTCAACCACAGCATTGATCCAAACAGAGGTGAATATTTCTTCAATATTGAGCAAAATTTTTCTGAATGTAGACATGTATGTGTGCATATGTACAATATACAATGATGTCTCTTCAGAATGAATTGTTCTGTACCACTCTCCAAACATTTTCATACACTAGAAATACTGGAAAGAACTGATCTTAATGCATGAAACATACCCTTTCTGTTCTTGTGCTGAAAAACTCAGAAACCAAAATCTCGTCAGTTGATTGAACCAAGTGCAATAAGCACAGATCCCTATTCAGGAAAGATCTCAACAGATTGTTAACTTTAAGCTTGTACTGAAATCCCATTGACTTCAGCAGAGCTTAAGTACATACACAAGGGCTTTCCTGAACTGGAATGAATGAGGGCAAATCATAGACAAGGAGAACTTTTACTGCGAGCATGGACACGTCACAGAAGTTTCAATGTTAACGTGCCATCTCCCTGTTACTTCCCCACTGGGGCACACAGAGGAGTTGTGTAGTCCGCATTAAGTTGGAGAAAGACAGCATTCCTTCATGTGCAATAAGTTTCAACAAATTGCATGCATTTCCTTATCTCCTGTCTTTTTAAATAACTTTACCTCTTGTTCAGCTCCTCACCAACAGTATAACCTACAGTATCAAGCAAAAAGCCTGAAAACAGATATGCTGATAGCAAGAACTTAAAAGAGATGGTGGAAAATTGCATTCTGTTACTGACAGTAAACAGATAAATGAAAAAATATGGCAAACTGCAATCCACTTAGAAGAGAAAATGTGTTAATTTCAGCTGCGTACACACAGAGAGACAGAGAGATATCTATACCAGTTGTTGGCTTTGCATGGGAAGGCTTCATCGCACAGATTTTGACTTTCGTATCTTTTTCATCTAGCAAAAGCTTGCAGCATTTTCTTCTAGGCTGTATGGGAGCATTACATGCAATTTCCTTTATCTGGGAAGCTGAGTTTACTGTTCATCAGGCTAAGAACTGTTTCCTATCATAATCCTCTCACTCTTCATGCATAATCCTCAGCTAGGCTTTAACGTTTCTTGATTTATGGGATGTTTTCAGTTCCTGTTGACAGGCTGTGTTTTTTGTGCCAGAAGAATTAATCCCACAATAACTGGAGTTTAATTTGGGTCAGCTGAGGTCAAGGCCAGTTCATATCAACTGTGCTTGCATTCAATGCATTTTTGTTCATTTTCGGTGTTTTTTACACATTTAGTTTTCTATTTTTGTATTGGAAATAAAATTTTTTTGCAGTCAGATTTGCAGCCCTTACTCAAGTCAGCAGCTCTGGTGACTTCAATGGACTGTTTTTGTCTGAGTCACTGACTGGACCCTTTGATTGTTGTTTTCTAGTCTAATTTATATATTAAGGAAATGTGAGTGCAAAAGACTCTTCCAATAGAAGATACAAGTAGAAGTAGCCACTGATATTGATGGTTGGTTGATTGGTCCTTGCTGCCTTTTTTTTTCCTCCCCCATTTTTGAAAAGCTGCATTTTGAAAAGAAGATACCAAACAATGCAGCACGTTTTCTCTGCAAAACGTCTTTGGTAACACAGTCTGTATTTACCCTGTGGTAAAGAGCGGGCTTGAGAGCACGCTGAGCCCCACGTACCTGCATTTTTTTGTCGAGGCTGCTTGCCATAACTCCACCTCAGACTCACCCTGTTCTTTGAAGCAGCTCAGCGGGGTAGCTCAGCCCCAAGCCATCCTGGGCCAATATTTATGTGCCCACTGGTGCTCAGATACTTCCCCCCCAGGAGAAGTCCTGAGCTCCGGCTGCAGTCACCTCTTAGCACGGACTTGAGTGTTATAGTTTGGCTGGCTTTAAGAGTGAACACGGACCTGCATTTAAATGACAAAATACACATCCCCCGAGTCCTCCCGTCACTCTTAACTCTGGCTGTTACCCACCCCAGAAGGAACACAATTTGTTTGGTCACAAGTATGGTGGAGAACTTGATCGGTGCCTTTCTGTTTATTACTTGTTTGATCTCCAGCTGTGGAAGTCTGTCGTGATTTACTAGACTAGTAGCAACGGATTCTGTCAGCTGCTTCAATACCATATGAAGGTACTGTGGGATTTGTCCTCAGATCAGGAAAGTGAAATTCCAATTAGATTAGCTTCTGTTTTCTTTGACGGTGCCTATGATGTTTATCTTCAGATAATTTGGGGGGGTTGGGTGCCCTTACTGCTATTTAATGTTAAGAAATTTTAGAAGTGACATATATTACTTGCCTTAAATGGAGTTTAGTTTTATTGCACATGTGGCATTTGAGTTTCAAGTATGGAACTTGGAAGCATGTTTATTTTACTAAGATCGGGATATTTTTCTTAATCATGATGAACTCTTTGTACGGATGTAATATGTCAAGAAACTTCAAAGAAATGCAAGAATTAACGCTATCCTGTTGTAACATTTCCAAGTACTAAGGATCTCTTGTAGATGATTGTTCTTTCTTGTTCATTGTTCTTATATTGAATTATTCCAGCTAAAATACCCATTGCTTCCATGGAAAAACACACCGGTTTTTAGTTTTTGTGCTGGCATCATCTGTGTTGTCTGATGAGCACACTGAGCCTTAACTTCTGGTGGTGTAACAGGATGAAATAGCAGCCATTTAAACCAACTAGACGTATAAATGGATTAGAGGTTTTGGCCTTCTCGCCATAGGGTTTCTTGCAGCTGTACCATTTTGGTGAGGTTATTTAGAATACTTTCCTGTGCAGAGTATTTGCTGTATATGGTTGCTGCTGTTCAGATGACTGAATGTGGCATGGCGACAACAAATACTTCATTTCATCTTCTTAGGGCCTGGTCTGGCAAAGTGCATGTGGCTTTTAGGTCTGGTCCAATTAAGCATATGTTCCACGTTAAGAATCTGAATAGTCTTAGGCACTTCATCATGAGTCGAAGGTGCTCTGTGTGTTCTGGGTGGGACCAGCGGAGACCGTCCTTCTTTGGGGTTCCATGAAAGACGCTTACTTGTTGTAATCTGTTGTAAAAGTCCAGGAACGTGCAGGCTTCTTTACGCCATAGCAGTGTTCAGGTTCATTTTGTGAAAGTAAGAAGTCATTCTGTACAGATCCAGAAGGACTATGCCTGGAGGGAGAGGTTTGCTTACAAACAGATGCTTCTGAATCAGTCAGGGTTGGTAAAGCAATGGGAATTCAGTCAAAGGAACCGTGTATTGCAGGTGGATGCAACAAATGCATAGCAGCCTATAGGATCCTCACAGGCAGCAAGATCATGCAGACCCCTTGGCCTTAATGCTTTATATTATTCCATGGTGTCATGAATGACAGGTAAGAACAAAGCATATGCAGAGGTTCAAGTGTGGCCAAAAGCCAAGCATAGTCCTCCCTGTCGCATGGAAGGATATCCCAACCCCTTGTTTGCCTGTTTCTTTTATCCAAATACCACAGGGCTCCAAAGGAAGAGATTATAGTGAACAGAGCACCTTAGGTTAAGGAGGAGTTAAGAAGGAGGTTAAGAAGATCAAGCGCTAAGTGTAGATACAAACACATATGTATATACTGTAAATCTAAATAGTAATAAAAGTCACTCAGCATGAAGGATATTACTAGTGCCTACCATTGATCATCAAGTACTCATCACTGAGCAGCCGTATCACCTCAGAAGTGCAGTAACTGTTATCAAAATAATTTGTGCAGCTAATTAATTCATAAGAAATGCACCTTTGGGACTGTGCCATAGTATCTCTTTTGTAATACAAATGTTCAACCATTTTTCGTGGCTACTGATTCAAATCTACATCACTGAAATGTCAGGGTATCTTTTTTTCCCTAGATGAGGACATATGCTTAGACCTGGCTAATCTGTGCTTAGTTTATCTACCCAAGAGACTTTAGTAGTCACCAGCCTTAACGCATGTACAGTATATACTATTTACTGACTTAGTTGTAGGTTTTAATCCAAATTAAATTGGAATTTGTGAAATTACTTTGATTAATGGCATCTGCCTCAGATATCCTACAGATGTCACATTAAATGATTCATGATTTTAAGCAGGAAAGGTTGAATTTTATGTAAATAACAGTGGATGAATTCCTTGATCTTTTTACAAGATTTTTTTTAAATTAAAAGACTGTCAAAGCAATAGGGTTTTTAAGTCTCCTAAATTTTCTGGAGGGTCATGGGTTCATGGTCAAAGCTATATTAAGAACATCTCCTTCTGCAATATGCTTTGCCTTTACATAATCCGCTTAATGCTTAATATGTCAGAAAGAAATGTTTCTTTTTCACAGTGATAGCAACATTTCCCTCCCCCATTCAGGGAGAATCCTCAAACTAAAGAATAAAATCTCCTGGCACAATAGAAATACAAACAATGCCTGAAGAATATGGACTTGTTAAGATAACAATAGAAGTTTGGCTGGTGCAGACCTAACATGCCTCTCATTCTGTTATCTTTTTTTTAGCATTTACATCACATATTTGAACTCATTGTGTTTGAAACTAGAGAATTAGTCTGATTTTCATGTCTTAAAAAGGCCTGGTAGGTCTGATCACTATCATAATTATAATTGTTACATTAGCTTATGTGCTGTGCACCGAGGGCTGGGAAGTCATGGCACTGTCAGAATTTGTCAGAATGCATTCAGAAAAGGATTTGGATGATCTTATGTCTAGTCTGCCTCGAAAACTGGAGAACAATGTCTCTCACCCAATAATGTTAGCATGAAAATTTGGCTACTTTAATGTCTCTCATAAAGCTGCCGTTTGCCCTCAATAAGGCCATACTGGTTGCCACGCTGTAAATTGTTCTTGAGGTTAATTGACGAATTTGGAAAGTCACTTTAGGCGCTGTTTGTGCTTACCTCACTAAAGCAACATAGAGGAAAAACACTGAGATTTGGAGCATCCAAGGCTCTATCATTCTTTCAAAAGACTATGGTTTTCCTCAGTGAGACAGGCGGGACTCAGCTGGGGTTGTTTCTTCTGCCTCCACTTGCTGTCTGGCTCCATTGCGCTTGGTAGTCCGCAAGTATGCCTGCACTTTCAGGAGTGATTTCTACTTTGGCAGCCCAAGCTACCTTTCAAACAGGGTGCTGGAGCATGGAGCAAGTAACCCACAGGCTGCATAAGGGGCACTGCTTTCCCCCACAAAACCAGCAGCAAACATAGCAAGGCTCCCTCTCTTTTCCAATCTGTGTAGCTTGAATCTCACACGCTGTAGCTTGAATCCCAGCCTCATCCCTGCTACCCTTGAAGGACTACAGAGGGTCCAAGAAAAACAAGAGAGTGACGAAAAAATGGGGATTTCCTCTGTCCCAAGGCACATATTCCTTTTTGGGAGTGAATATAGAGAAGAGCATGGATCATAAGGCACTCAGGTCTCATGTTTCTCATATGTACTAACACAGGGATACTTAACACTTATCTGCCTCATAGGGCTTTATGAGAATTAATTAATGTTTGCAAATCACTTTGTATCCTCAGAAGTGCTGTAGAAGAACTATAGAAAGAACTGCTAAGTACACTG